GCTTCTCCCTCTGACCCTCTTCCCTCTCGTGCTTTCTATCTCTCATTCTCTCTCTCTCTCAAATAAATAAATAAAATCTTTAAAAAAAAAAATTAAGTTTCATAATATGCATGTCAGTATGGGTGGAGGGGCCTCTCTGAGGAAGTGAATGTGAACAGACCTGATGATAAGAAGGAGCCAACTCTATGCAGATCTGGTGGGAAGAATGTTCTAGTAAAGGAACAACTCATTCAAAGACCGTGTGGCAGGAACAAGACATGATAAATGGAAGGGGCAGAATGGGAGTCAGGTTGGTAAGAAGATACTGAGTGAGAAAGGGCAAGGATAAAGGACATAGCTAAAGGACAGGTGATGTTGCCCATGGTAAGAAGGATGTTCTTACCAATAGCAATAACATTTTACTTAATTTTTACAAATAATCCATACTCACAGACTAGTTCTAGTGCCTCCAGACCAGAGGTGGAATTGTCATTATAAAGGATTGTAAGTAGGAAAGCAGTTCCTTGGCAAATATTTAGGGTATTTTCCAAAATTTGGCTTCATCATAGACTCCAAGATTACTTCAAAAATATTTGATGGCTTATATTCCATCCATTCTAGAGATTCCCTAAGTCTATACTAACTGCCTTTTCCTCTATTTTTTTTTTAAAGATTTTATTTATTGAGAGAGAGAGAGCGCACAAGCGGGGTGGGGGACGCAGACAGAGAGGCGGGGAGAGAATCTCAAGCTAGCATGGAGCCTGTGGTGGGGCTCTGTCTCACGATCCTGAGATCATGATCTAGGCTGAAATCAAGAGTCGGACACTCAACTGACTTGAGCCACCCAGGCTCCCCTTCATTTTTTTGTAATTCTTTCTTTCTTTTTTCTTTTCTTTTTTTTACTTCTATTCAGACTTGGAGAAAGTATAGCAGCAAACAATGCCTATAGACAACAGGAAACAGAACATATACCCAGGAGAATGCTTTTGCAATCACTAAATCACAGTCTTCCAACATCAGTAAAATGTTTAACTCCTCCACTTTTGAAAGCTAGAGTTTCTGGATTGAACATTGAGGAATTAATAGAGAAACTTCAGGCTGGAATGGTGGTGAGTGGTAAATAGCCATTATAAATGGGATTCTGCCTGGTACATACCAACTAAATATTAGCCCTTATTATAACATTTATTTAAATAACTTTAGATGCAAATTTGATCAATGAAATCTTATCTTTTAATATGAAAATAACAATATTCTAGAAAATTTGGAAAGAAAAAAATTTAGCCATAAAATTTCCACATTTTAACACAGCAATCATTTTTCCCCCAGTCTTACCCAGTTAGCCCACCCCCATCCTCTCTATCCCCCTGTTTAAGAAATATAATCCATAAGCATATCAAGTCCTACCCAGATACTCTTCTGCAATAGCCAGGTTAGTGAAATATTTGTGAACCGCCTAATAGAGCACTCATTTTTGTACTTTGTTACTCATTATTAAGTTTTAATGATTTAGTTTCACACTAGGCATTTATTTTTTTATTGTGTTGAATGTTAAAATTTTCTGATTTTTGACTTGTATTAAAACTTAGGTAAAGGATCAGATTAATGATGTGAGAATATCTGACATAATGGATGTATATGAGATGAAACTGTCCACATTAGCCGTGAGTACAAGCTTATTTTAACTATACGTAACAGTTAAGCTTTAATAGATGTTTTTCTGGTAAGTGATAAAGATTAATGGTATGTTTTTTTACAGTCCAAAGAAAGCAGGCTACAAGATCTTTTGGAAGCAAAAGCTCTAGCCCTTGCACAGGCTGATAGACTAATTGCTCAATATCGCTGTCAAAGAACTCAAGCTGAGACAGAGGTGTGTACAATATAAAGACTTACCTGATAAGTAGAGAAATAAATGAAGTAGAACATGTACAAAATTTTAGTGATATTTTTGTTACTCTTTGAAGTAAACTGTTTTCAGCATTTGACATGACTACTCTCTCCATCTTGAAACCCTTCCCCCTTTAATTTTGATCACCCTATTATCTTCTGATTTTCTTTCTACACTGGTGGATATTCTTTTCCTATATCCTTTAGGGACTTCTTTCTCCATTCAACCCTTAAATGTTGGGTTTTCCCAGCATTATGTTCTAAGTCCTTTGCCCTTCTTTAGGTGGTCCAGGGTTTTAGTCCTTACTAGAATGTTAATGCTACCAATTTTATGTGCCGAGCCCAGATCCTTTACCCTAAGCACTAATGCTTCCTGTGTAGCTCTGTTTAAATATATAGCAAATACTTCCCATTCAGCATGACCAATCCTGAATTCATCACCCTTTTTAAAAATTTACTTTTTTGTATATTCTCTCTTGTTCTGAAGAGTTTTCCAGACAAGAAATCCGGAAGTCACACAGTTTACTTCCTACAATTAGTCATTCACCAAATCCAGTTGATTCTACCTTCTAAATACTACTTTTTTCTGCCTTGTCTCTTCTTGCCACTATTTGGTACAGGTCAAATCCTTTTCATTTTTTATATGAATCATAGCACAGCCTCTAGTTAGTCTTTTTACCTTCAGTCTGGAGCCCTCTTCTCAACCACCCTCTATGTGCATCCCAAGTCATCTGTCTTTTTGTATTTGGTTCCACCCTCCCTTGTTCCCCCACAGTGATTCCTGAGGCTGTGTTTCTGATTTTATTGCTTCTGTGCTAAATACCCTGCAGTGGCTTACCATTTTACTCAGCAGATGATTTTATTTATTTATTTATTTATTTTAAAGATTTTATTTATTTATTTGACAGAGTCACAGTAAGAGAGGGAACACAAGCAGGGGGAGCCGGAGAGGGAGAAGCAGGCTTCACACCGAGCAGGGAGCCCAATGCAGGGCTCGATCCCAGAACCCTGGGATCATGACCTGAGCCGAAGGCAGACGCTTAATGACTGAGCCACCTAGGTGCCCCAGCAGATGATTTTAAATTCCTTAGTTTGGCACACAGGATTTTGAAACTACTTTCATTCCTCATCTCCTTGCATTTCTGTGCATTCTCTGCAATCGACTATATCAGATTACTTTGTAGTTTCTTATGCAGTTCTATTGCTTTGCAGTTACTTGACATACTCTTAGGTTTCCCTGTCCTTGTACTTGCTCTTCCATGTCTGGAACACCTTTTCCTCTTCCGCTGCCTAGCTCCTAATAATCCTTCCGATTTTAGTTTAAATAGCCTCATTTTTTAGGAAGCTGTCTCTGGTCCTCTTCTTCCCACACATGTGAAAATTATATAACCCTGCCCCCTACCCTTGATGGTCTCTGACATCAAGGGTAGGTATCTCCAGGGCCTCAGCAAGCACAGTACTTGGCACATGGTAGGTGCTCAGAAAGTTTGACATCGTGCTGTGTGCATATATGCACACAATGTGTACATTAGGAGTGAGAGCTTACTGCAGTAATATGAAATTCCTAGCAAATACAAACGGAATCTCAACAGTTTGATATCATTTATAATGAATTGTAATAAAGTCATTTGACTTTTGAGAGAGGCATTAAAATCAGTGACACATAAAATAACTTTAGAGTCTTCTCAGAGTATATGTATTTGAAAAAATATGAATAAATATAACCGTATGTTGTCCTTTTCTTCTTTTGACATGGATTCATTTGTCTTGACTGATGGCGTGTTGAATTTATCATAAATTCCAACAAAGAAAACTAATGATACTAGAATCATTTTGTCTTCTCCCTTCCCATAGCACATTCTTATATTCTATATCTCTTGGACATGTCTTTCATTTTATTGGAGAATTTAATGTTTTATCCGTTTTACTGGAAAGGTTTCTTATAAACATAAGATCATATGATACTTGTCTTTCTCTGATTGACTTATTTCACTTAGCATAGTATGCTCTAGTTCCATCCACATCGCTGCAAATGGCAAGATTTCGGGTTTTTTGATGGCTGCTTAATAGTCCATTGTGTGTGTGTGTGTGTGTGTATACCACATCTTCTTTATCCATCTCTTGATGGACATCTTGGCTCTTTCCGTAGTTTGGCTATTGTGGACATTGCTGCTATAAACATTGGGATGCACATACCCCTTCGGATCACTACATTTGTACCTTTGGGGTAAATACCCAGTAGTGCAATTTCTGGGTCGTATGGTAGCTCTATTTTCAACTTTTTGAGGAACCTCCATACTGTTTTCCAGAGTGCCTGCACCAGCTTGCATTCCCATCAACAATGGAAGAGGGTTCCCCTTTCTCCGCATCCTCGCCAACATCTGTCATTTCCTGACGTTAATTTTAGCCATTCTGACTGGTGTGAGGTGGTATCTCATTGAGGTTTTAATTTGTATTTCCCT